TATGGTCAAGGGGATGGAGGATAGGTCCTACAAGGAGAGACTCTGGGAACTGGGCCTGTTTAGTTTGAGTAAGAGAAGGCTGAGAGGTGACTTGATAGCTGCCTACAAGTACATCCGTGGTAAACACCAAGATCCAGGTGAGCAACTCTTCAAGAAGGCACCTCAAGGAAGTACAAGGACCAACAGGCATAAGCTTATAGAGGGTAAATTCAGGCTAGATATAAAAATAACTTTTTCTCTGTAAGCATTGCCAGAATCTGGAACACACTTCCAGCAGAGGTGGTGCAGTCACCATTCTTGGAGGAGTTCAAAATGAGGCTGGACAGGTACCTTGTTGAGTTTGTGTGAGCCCAATAACTTCCTGCCCATGGCAGGGGACTGGACTTGATCTTACAGGTCCCTTTCAGTTCTACAATTCTATGATTCTAACTCCAAGCTGACAGTGCCAAAAAACCAGGTCTTGAGCACAGTACCATGTGTTGCTACCCTGGGGCGTGTCCAGATGTGTGTGGACGTTTGGTTCCCCAGGGACAACTAGCAGTGGTGCACCTTGCACCACAGCTACTTGTCCCCAGGGAATGCCCATGCCATGATTTTGGCAGGTGGCAAGTTACCCCAGCGGCAGTAGGGGAGGCTGGAGCCAGCACTATGCTGGCCCCAGCAGCCCTACCAGGGGTCCTGGGGACCTCCTGGGTCTGCAGCTGCGGCGATTCTGCCACGTGGAGCCTGGCTGGCAGCAGAGCACAGCTCCGGGCGGCCCAGATCTGCTTTTCAGCAGCACTTGATGCCCAAGCGTGCGCTGTGCCTTTTTTTTTTCCTGCAGTTTTTGACCTCTGGATATCCAGGGGTCAAAAAAACCTGTGGAGGGAAAAAAAACCCAGTGCAGTGCACACTCAGGCGGCATGCCCTTGCAGCCCAGAGAACACCGCACAACCACACTCGTCTGGATGTACCCCGGTGTCTTCACCACCTTGTTTCTGGGGATGATGTGCATGCAGTGGGAGTAGGTAGGTGGGTTTATTTTCCTGGTAGAGTGACTGAGCACCTTCCACCATGATTTAAACACACACTTTGACAATCTAGCCCTTTGTATTTATATTTTACATCTATTTTTAATCACTGTAGTTATTTAAAATGCTTTATAAAATTGAGGGAGTGCTTTCTTCATTTTTCAGGTGAAAAAATTAAAACGGTGAAAAGGCCAAAATTTCCAAAAACAGCCTCCAGTTTGTCCATCTTGGGGCATGTCAGGCATTGTTTTCAGATGTGCTGAGCACTGCTGTTGAAATTAGTAGGGACATTAGTTGCCCAGTGCCTTTAAAATTTTGCCCAAGATCTCAATTTAGGCACCAAAAATCAGTGTCGACACTTGTGAATTTTAGCCTAGTGACTTACTAAGAATTCTGCTGTGAATCTGTGATAGAGATAGTGTAGTATCGTTGTTTCCTGACCACGGTATGTGGTACCATTCTTATTGATGCTATGCTCAGGAAAAACACAGAGAACACAGCTATTATTCTCTCACAACCAAATGCTTTCATACTATAGTGCAAGATATCAAAGACAAGTTGTTAATGGGATGCTTTCATAGTTGGCAGGAGAAGGGTTACATAATTGACCCACTCAAGGTTTTTTCTGTTTGGGTCATTCTATCATGCTTTCTAAATATATGGTGTGAAATTGAAACTGTGATAAACAGTGCATTTAAATAATTGTTAACTTTATTTTAAAAATATATAACAAATGCATAACTGTTATCCTATGAAGCACATCTTACAGTGAATAAAACACCAGTAATATAATTTCCATCAAAAGTTCTGTTGTGAGTTCAAACATTGTTGATTATATTCTGTTGTGAAAGTGAAAAGCCCAAGCACTACAAAGTCCTTTAATTCTTACATATATTTAAAAAATATATTTTACATACTTAAAAATTGAAAGAATTTTTCAGACTCGGGCATTATACAGAATTAAAAAAATGTACTTTAAGTTACATCACAATCATTATTCTATCTACACTTCAATGCACAGGAGCAAATACTGTAATACATTTGACATAATTACTACAATGTACATATAAACATGATAGAGCAAAGTTACAATAGTTACAAACAGTAACATCTTTAAAATGATAAACACTCACAAAAGAATTTTAAAATGTATTAAATATATTAAAGGCTTTACCAACCATCACCACTAAAGGCAAAAAACTATTCCTCCCAAGAATCACAGGTCAAATCCTGTTGTCCTTAATCCTGACTCCACTGAACTTCTATTGGTTTCAGTTGGAGTTTGCCTGAGAAAGGGCTCAATGAGAACACCTAAAACACATTAGTGTTTGCCCAACTAATAGTAAAGATATGTATTTATACACAGAAATCCTCTCTTCTGCATGTGCGCCCAAATGTCCTTCAACTTGGTTAGTGGGAGAATTATCCTTAGAATCAAATCACATTGTGGGGTTGGGGGGAGAAAGACAAAGTAATTTCATTTAATTTTGGAAAATGCACCTAGAAAAATGCAGAGGCTCTCAAAAAGCATATTTCAGGGGACAAAAAATTGTTAAAGCAACAGGAAACTAGAACACAAATTTGAGGACACTGCCTGATGTGAACAGCCTGTTTTGTCACAAGCAGTTAAGGCCCCGAGCCTGCAAATTCTTCCACATTCTTTCACATTTCTCAAAGGGAGCCTTGCACGTCGTAATTTGCAAAGCACAAGTGTAACTCTTTGCAGAATCAGGGTCTAAGCTCATTAAAGCTTTTGAAATCACGCAAATAGCACATGAACATATTTATAAGAATTAAATCTATTTTGTATGAAATATATCTAAGGGCTGACAGCCTCAGTTGTAATAAAGGGTACTACTTTAGGGATGTATAGTCTCACGCAGGTTTTCTGTACAGTGGTGAATTTTACCTACTTTATATAGCCCAGGATGCTCAGGTTACCCCCCAATATAGGCACTTTGTAAAGCCCTTTGAAAATAATCTGCACTTTATGACAGCAGATATAATTCCGCCTTTACAAAGCATGCACAAGTTTGGGCTTAAGGGATGGCTAAACATACATTCACAATCTAAGAGTATATAAAATACCTATATAAACTATATTGTGTATTTTATCTTAACAGACTTCCTGGTCGCACCTGAAGTTTCTGCACAGCACAGCTGTTTTACTTCCCTCCCGTCACCCCCAAATAAATGTAAGGAATAAAAGCCTAACTACATAACTAATGCCATATTACCAGTACAGTCCCCTGCCCTTTATTGCCATGACACTTTATTAGCAGATAAATTAGGGAAACCTCAACTAATGGTGACACAGTCATGAATACAATTACTTTTTCTATCCACTAAAAACAAAGTGAATGTTTAAAATGATGATTACCTACAGGATAATAGTCAATGAAATCTACAGTACCATGTACTATTTTCCATCTATTGCAGAATTAGTAATAAAGTTATAATATCAAAGAGAGAACCTTGGTAAATAAGGAATATGCAAACATTTTTTGTATCAAGAAGTTGGGGGGAACAACTATTTGAATATGATTTGGCTTACATTACATACAACCTATTAATAAAAACCTATATCCAAATTTATCTAAAGCATTTACTATTGCTGTCTTTCTTCAAAAATAAAAAAATATGCATCTCTGACAATGGAGATTATTTTATGGAAATATTATATTATTTGTCTGGAGCTGAATAATTTACAATCAACATTAATGGTGTTAAAAAAATTAAAAAGCAGTATGTGGACTTAAGTTTGATCCTACAGCATTCATTACTGGGAAATATAGAAATGCATGTGTACACACACAAGAAAGTTCAGTATATGAACTTTTGTACGTAGCATTTCTCACATGTTTCCACATGGACATCTCTCATGTGTAAGAACTTGTGTGGCTGCCCTTGTGTAGTCTGACCCTGAAAAAAAATCCCATTAAGGTCAACAGAAATTCAGAACAGCCAGTACCTTGCAGGATTGGGCCTGCACTGGATATGAGACATAACACATATATTTTAGTTGATGCTTACTATAATATTACTCAGCTAGCACTGATAAAGGCACCCCCATTAACCATACAAACATAAATTTGCTTTTTACATTGAAGAAGGAAGAAAACTGAGGAGACATGGTGATGTTACTTTAACATGAAATTAAGTCAACTAAAACAAAATATGGTTTCTAGTAATACACTTTCTTCTGAGCCTCCCTTAACAACATTTGTACAATCATATGTTCCTCTTTTTAATTTCTTAGTTTCTCCCGTATTGCTGTGGAAATACTGACACAAAAGGGAAAACTCTACAAAGTGCTATCAAATACACAAATTAAAAAAGTTGGAAAACAGATCTATTCATCTCTAAACTATTTTAATTGTACAAACCTTTGATAATCATAGTAGGTAGCATTTTCTTTCAGTCAGAAATTTGATTAGTCAAAAGATAGTATCCCTTTAAAGTCAAATTCCAGTGCGATAAAAAATATTCTAATTGATGCATCACATTGCAAAGACTAAATTACTAAGGACTGAAGTCAGTCCTCCTTCCCCCATCCTCTCCCCCTATACAGACTTCCCCCAACAATGAAGTTTGGTACAAGAAAGGAAAGGAGTCTTTCCTTCTGTCACATAAAAGCAGCAGAGCTTAAGGCTGTTTGACTCCTGTTTCAAGGACTGATATTTGTAGTTGTAAAGCAATGGAATAACTAGTTTCTGTATCCCACACACAAACCTCTTTTTACAAGGATATGCAAAGAATTGTTAGAAAGTTGTGCTTAACTGTGCTGGAGGGGCATTCCACATAGAAAGGCCTCCCCTACTTTGCCCCTTTTGTCCAAACAGGAGCACCCCTGTTTTACTGCATCTGCAGCAGGTCCTGTACAAGAGGGCCCTCTAACTACTATTTAAAATATAATTAAAAAAACATAACAGGAAACTGCTATCTCGATCAGTGGTGCTGCTTGCATAGGGCAGCAAGTGTTGTATTTTCTAATTCAAATAATTTGGCAATATGGGATTTTCATGATGTCTTGAGTAAAGATCTGTATTTTTTTTTTAAATAATTGAAGTTTGATTTTTTCAGTAGCTCCCTTGCAACAGCATTCACAGTCTTAGATTTCTAATATTTCATATGGTCAATATGATTCTTCTGTCCTACTCTACATCAAAATGGGCTTCTGCTGAAAAACGTCATTGAAATGGCAGACCTCACTGAGACAGAGATCTGTTTCACACATTGAATGGAGGTATTGAAACTGTGATCTGTATTTCTAAAAGCTGCCTTGACATTTCCTGTATAATTATTTCTACTAAACATTTAATTATTCATAATAGTGTAACAAGTCATTGGAGTTTTCCTTTAATGATGTCCTTCAGGTTAATGCCAAGTCACAGACAATAGTGATGACATTCAAAAACTATTCTTGATGCATTATAATTTTAACAATCTGAAAAGATCAGTTCTATTAAAAATGTTTTATAACAAAACTGGGGCCACTGCCTCCCTCATGGCCTAGCTACATTTTAAGAACAGAGCTTGATAAACTTATAAATGGGATTATATGATGTGGGATTGGACTCAATTAACCAGGAAGTCCTTTCTAGTTTTACATCCTATCTTCCTAATTCCTAACATTTTAGGGATTATGGCAGGTTGGATATTTATTTACTTAATAATCAGAACAGTCCTAGTGAGAGTTTATACTATAAATGTTATAAATATCAGGAGCACTATTCTGCAGTCTCTCCACCCACCAAGCTCAGACTGATTCACTAGGACAGGATGGACAATCCAGATTAAAATAGATTTTACACACTTTTGCAGTATCAGTGATGAATTAGACATAAATTCATTTTAGTTTCCTATTATATTATTACAGTTTCACCTACAGTTTGTAGAAACAAATATGAAGAGTACAAAGTCAACTTTCTACTTTTTGAACCACTTTATAGTAAAATCTTCAAAGTTGTGATAAAGGATTTGCCATTGAAGCCAACCACCCTCTAGCTTCTTTACCCAAATAAAAATGTTTTATAATGCAAAGCTATCCCATAGAGTTACCTGTATTGGAAAACATGCTTCAGAAAAAAGGTAAGCAGACTTTTGAATTTTGATATCTATATTGCTGAAAGTTAATAGTAAAAGCTGTTACCTAGCACATTCATCCCACTGAAAATATCAGAATTTCACCCATTTGCAGTCGGGCTAAATTTGGCCTAATATATTGTACAACCTTGGTTGGGTAGTTTGCTTTTCAGACATTGCCATCATATATTTCAGGCATCTTTAGCCTTACTCTTTCCTTACCATACACTTCACATTGCTGATCAGCTTCCCTGTGGTTTCCCCCATAGAAACATCCCATGTTACAATGTGAACACAAATATTTAAGACAATCAACAACTGTTAATAGCTTTACCCCAAGCCTTGGTGAGAGGTAGTATTTTTCCTTCCCACAGGCTTCCCTTAGAGAAATGTATGTAACAAATTAGGCTTTTGCCTTCTAACACTTCCTCTAGAGATTTCCCTAGAGTCACAACAGTAACCAAGCACCTTCTGGTTAAAAAATGTAAGCGACAACATCTATCCTTAATGACCAGTAGAGGCCACTAGGTGCAAAAGCAACAACCCATCCCTCTGTTCCAGTTTCTGCAAAATGTTCTCAGCCCAATCCAAACCATGAAACAAAGAATCAAGCTCAAAATTAAAATCTATTTCCCTATATATTATCAATGCCTTTCTTAACTTTCTACCAAAAAGCATTTTCTACCAAGGCACCCACTAAGATTTGTCTCTTTTAGTTGCTTGCCAGAATTGGGATTTACTTTTATTTAAAACCAGAAGCAAGAATCAAATGCTGCTAACAAGACAAAGGGAGAGACATAAGTATAATTATGATTGTCCTTCTGCTCTGAGAATTCTAGATGTAAAAATAAAAAATAGATTTTTAATATTAGCTAGCATAACACTCAAGATAGCCATCAAAACTGCATTTCCTGGGATTTTACTTTACAAGGATAAACAGAGACTTTTCCCAGCAAAGTATATTTCGGCAATACTATAAGAATGCCTATCTATACTAGTCAATGGCAGCATTTAAGACACCCTTTGTTTACTACAGGAAACTTATTTTTAATTAGTAAAAACCCATTTTACCAAACTAACTCCACATTTTGATATCCTCCTTAAGCAATAAGTGATGCCTCTGTTATTTATATACACACACAACGCACATACACAAAAAGTGATTATGTACCTTTGATAGGTAATACGAATTTTTGCTTCTGCATTGAAAAGAACAGTACCAATTGCTCTTTCATTATATGCAAGTTCATTATTCGCCCTACCTTATAATCATGACCTGCTTCCCTATATAAGATAGCTTTGGAACGAGCGTACCCAGGTGTACTAGACTGTCAATGTAGGATTGCTTGTGGCAGCCTCCTCTGCTGACACTGATATTTTGTTTAAGGATCAGTAAAATATTGATGTATTTGTTTTGGTGTAGGAAAAAATCTCAATATTGTGCAAACAGGTACATTTCACATTTGAGTGCTATCAGCAAAACTGAATATAAGCCTAAATATGGCTTTTAAATAAAAGCTTGACCACTTTGCTTTCCCATCCCTCTTGTCTTTCCTCAAGGAAATCTGGCACTACACGCCCTGGTTTTCTAAACAAGAAGAAATATCCTGCACCCCCTTTCCCACCCAATAAATTCAGATCCCATATATGATTGAGAAAGAAAAAAGAAATTAGCAATGAAGGCAGAAGTTTTTATTTACGCTGATTTAAGCGCTAATTAGGCATTCAAGGTAAAGTTCTGGTCCTGCTGAAGTCAATGGCAAAATTCTCACTGAATTCAGTAGCACTAAGGTATCACTCCAAGAATAATGATATACCCATTATGTCCCAGTTTTTACAGGCAAATGGCACCAGTTTTGCATTTGAGTTTTTTTAGCACTTGGAGCAACATTGAAAAAAAAAAAAATAAGTACATTAAGCAGAAAAATCTTAAATACCCTTTCAAAAAGTTGTTAAGGCTCATAAGCATATTAGTAGCCTTAATTATCCTTGCCTACTAACTGGCAAGGATAAGTAAATATTTCTTTACCATTTTCATATAAATATATGATATTCTACTTTGTAAAAAGTGTTTGATTCATGCCATTGACATTGCAAAATATTTTTTAGTCTTGCATTCAATCTATCATCATGGGAGTTACTTGTAAAAAAATAAGAAGATATTTAATACTATAATGATAGAAGGTTGAAATTGTTCACACAATATACTCTGACCAAAATATTTTAACAGGTATACGGATAACAAGAACATATGAAAGGCACTTGTTTTCACCACACAATGAAAAGTAATCGGAGCCCTCTTCTCTGTCTTCCATTTTTTTTATACATTGTGATTGCCAACTGCTGTTATATGATGGTGCAAACAAAACACTCCAAAATGTTAGCATATCAAAGTGTACTTCCCTTTGGAAGGTTTTTTATCATCTTATCTTCCTTGTATTTTTATTTGAGATATTAGTTATCATTGAAGGAGAAGTTCATGTTACTGAGTATATAGGAGCCAAGATGGCTCAGCAGCTAGTCCAACATATCAGCCACATTGTGGTAGACACTTTCAAAATATGGGAAAATAAATTGTTAATCTGTTGGCAGAAAATGCTTGACAATTCCATTCAGCAACTATATTCAGTCACAGTTTGCTATTTTAAAAGACATCCATGCTAAGGTTGTAGGCAAAAATTAACATTCACTTGTCCTTTCATTTATAATAAACTGAGCACTTTCACTTGCATTTTCATTTTCATCTGCTTCTTCCACTGGGCTCTTTTCTTGTAATCCACTATGTTCTGAGCAAGAATCTTCATCTCCCTCATCTCTGTGGAGACCTTCAATACTGTGTCTGACACCATAACCAAAGTAAATAAGGAAGCCTTTCAAAAAGGAGGGAAAAAGAAAAAGTTAATAGGTTTTCAGGTACATGGTGCATTAAAGCAGTTGCTTCTGGCTTTTTGAATAACCGCCACTTGTTAGAACAGTTCCCTGATGGTATTCAAGCCTTCATATGTAGTA